AAATGATGCCAAATTGGGTAAATATTAGAATCTGATATCTGATCAATATTCTTTAAAAAATAATTATGGTATTGGCATACTGATAAGTTAATAATATTTTTATCATATAGTCTAAAGCTTACTATATAGTAAATATTGAAAGTGCCAATATTTATCAAATATTATTTTAAAATTAATAATTAAGTTATTGGGTTAAATATTTCTAAAGCTCTTTGTACTAAAATAATATCATAATCTTGAGTAGCAGTAATTTATTCTCTATGGGCAATCTCAGACGATTTTCCACAACATAATATTTAACTGTTTTTCTATGAGCAATCCATTACCTTTGCCGGTCATAATATTTGTAAAATAAAAGAAGATCCAGTAATCACATAATAATACATGACATTAGATTAAGATGTTTTGCACTCATTCTGGATCAGGATATTCAAAATAATTTAGCACCAAATCATGTAACAGCATACTGCCACAAAGAACAAAGTGAAGGACTTATATTATGGATATACTTTGTGTTAGTCAGGAAGATATGCCTAATAAAAATGTCAATCCAGCTTTATTATTATGAAATAAAAAACATTGCCAACAGCAACAATGCACAAATAAAAAAAGGATCATAACTAGTCATCTGAAACAGTGGGTTTGATTTTTTTACCTGAAAGACTAATGTGTATATTATCATGAGCTCCATGCACTCACAAAATGTCACTATTCTTAAATTGCATGTTGCATACAGCACACCAATTTTCTTTACCTAAAGATATGTCATTATTATTATTAGAATTAGCAAAGCTAACAAAAACATTATATAGAATTCGTAAGTTGCTGAAGGTTAATACGCCTACCTTGAACAATAATGTGGATATTGTTGTTGTCTACATTGTTAAAATATTCCCTAACCTTATACTTTATATATTGCACTTCCATTCCTCCCAGAACACTCACAACATCAGACACACTAAAATTTCTAATTTGCTCAAGCCTTGAATCACCTTGGACAACTTGCACATACCATAACTTAGTGTCAATGGCATCAATATTCTGAAATGTATCTGACAATTCTTCTTTAATCACTTTCTTAAGCTTATAAATACTTTTGTTG